ACAGTCTAACCCTGCGTCTCAATGTTCATACTATCCATCCTAAATAGTATGCGAGATTAGAAGAAGTGTGTCCCAAAGCTTAGTAGCCTATGTTGAAAAGAGTATGCCAAAAGTCCCTGGATGGTCTACTATTTCAGGTCGATTTTTGAAGTGTGGATCCGTGCACACTCTAATGGCTAAAATTGCCCACAATCCATTGCGCCTTGGCGAAGGATTCGGTCCAGAACTACAAATACGAATAAAACGCGTTAGAAAAACGACAAACGTGGCGGATGCGCGCGATCGATGGTTAGGAGAGGTTTCAAAAAGGGGTTTGAGTTACTAATAATCATCATTTAACCTGGTAAAAAATATTTATTTATTGTTATTCGTGTTATATTTCATCTGCAACAGTAATGTGAACTTTTATAAACATCCATTGGGTCGTGAACTTTTAAATGCATGATTATGCAGAAAATATGAGCAGAGTTCTCTGCGTGAAAGACCCGCGACTGGATGCGACAGAGCGGTCCTTTAAAGACGCAATTGTGTGACCTGATAGTATGTCCCAAAGCTTGCCTGCTCTTTTACTACACACTCAAAAGTGTGTACTTTTTCTTCACCAAAAGAGTACATACTTTAAAGTCAGCATGAAATGGAAGTTGTGATTGTATTTTCTTCTCTACTGTGACGTATATCTGAGTGAAACGGCATCTGTTTCCCCCTGTAGTTCCCTCACGTCACTAGCTCCACCCTTGCACCATAGCTCGTGACCGGGAGAGAAGATGAGTCGTTTTGAGGGGGAGGGGAGGTTAACGTTTTTGATTAAAGATTATGAGGGCACATGAATTAAAAAAAAATAATGAAGTGCACGGATAAATTATTTATAATAAACACTACAGTAATCCATTAAAAAAATAAGAATTTCCCATTTTGATTTCATGGTGACTTTACGGGCGTAGTATAATAGACACACTGAGACGCAGCAAAATGCTTTGTTTCTGAATGAATTGGTGTCTAAACGGTGACTTCAACTTCTACCAAAGTCTTTTTCTGGTAAGATATCTGTACTTTTAATTGAGTATGGCTTTCAGGTACTTTATACACCACTGCCTCTGCTACTTATGACTGGTTTTGTGGTCCAGGGTCACATGTTTAAAATGATGATGATTTAACAACAAAATAAACCATTTTGATATTTAATGTGTGACAATGATTTATTTACAATGTCCCTCAATTATGGCATAATTTCCACTGCAACAACGATTTTGAACCTAAATTGAATTTCTATCAAATTTAGACCCGATAGAATGAAACACATTCAAAGAAAAGGAAAACAAAATCAAAGATAAATATCACTGGTGAACAGAATATTTTGATGGATCATAATTTCCAGTTTAGCCACTATTTTGTCATACATACACTGTTGATTAGTGGATTACATATATTAAATTAGTAATTCACTTAAAAATGAAATTTTGCTGAAAATGTATTCTTCCTCAGGCCATCCTAGATGTAGATGAGTTTCTTAATGGAAAACAGATTTGGAGAAATTTAGCACTACATCACTTGCTGACCAATGAATGCTCTGCAGTGAATGGGTGCCGTCAGAATGAGAGTCCACACAGCTGATAAAAACATCACAATAATCCACAAGTAATCCACACCACTACAGTCCAGTCCATCAGTTAAGAAACAAATCCATTATTATAGTGTCCTTACCTTCAAACTGTTGCAAACAGTCAAAATGTTAGTCCTCTATAGATTATATTGCTCTTTCTAGTGAAAAAGTCATCTGAATCAGGAGAGAAATATGCACAGATCAAGCACTGTTTACAAGCTAAAAAAGTTCTTAACAAATATGTGGGTGGATTTTGATGTGAGAGGACAACAGAGGATGGACTTTTTACTTGAAGAAGTGTTATTATGGATTATGGTTTGACGTTAAAAATGTATTAATGATTGATTTGTCTTACAATCGTAGTTTTTCCCTCCACAAGATGTTAATTGAAGTTGTGTGAATTACTTGTGGATTATTGTGATGTTTTTGTTTGGACTCTCGTTCTGACGGCATCCATTCACTGCAGCATGAGGATCCACTGGTGAGCAAGTGATGTAATGCTGTATTTCTCCAAATCTGTTCCACTGACGAAACAAACTCATCTACATCTTGGATGGCCTGAGGATCAGTAAATGTAAAGCAAGAAAATGTTCATTTTTGGGATTCAAGATTAAGAAATATAACATTTGAAAAGAGTGTTTTTCTAAAACTCCGCACATGGTCAAAAGTGCCTGTAGTTTACTGAACACCCTTACATTGCTGGATTAAAAACCTGTCATCAGACACATACTGGAAACGCAAGAGAAAGGGGTTTGCCCTGACGCAGAAGAGCACTGGTGAAAGTACTGCTCTCCGTTTTTCCCCTTTGTATCTATTATGAAAATGATAACCAGGACAGAAGTATTGTGCTAAGCAAAACCTCAAAAACTGTAAAAAGGGGACCGAACTATATTTTAACATAACAAAAATGTGCACATTCTGCAAAAGGAGATGAGATGTAATGAAAATAAAAAGAACACAACAACTGAAACTTCTGAATACTTTCAGCCATCAACAATCGATTTCTGTGTAAAAAAAAAAATATATATATATTTTTTTTTGAAGTTGTAAATAAAACAATTATTAGAATAGGTTT